TTTTTTTTTGAGAGAGCACAGAGAGAGAGGGAGAAGCAGACTACCCACTGAGCAGAGAGCCCGATGAGGGCTCCATCCCAGGACCCCGAGATCATGACCCAAGCCGAAGGCAGACACTTAACTGACTGAGCCACCCAGGCGCCCCTACTAGATGTTTTAAAGTGACCCCTGGGCCCGGAATTTGGAGGTTCAACATGAACATGAGGCTTTATCTCAGCAGTTGGTAGATATTCCAGAATGTTGTGTCTCAGAGACAACTCTCACTCTCCAGTTATCTACACCCCAGCTATCCCAAGGGTGATGAAGCCTGGGAAAGGTATTTCCAAGGAACCAAAAGAATTAAGTATTTCTAGTTCATTCTGCTCTATTTTAAACATTCACTGGGTGCTCACTGTGTGCCAGTCACCAAGTTTTATTCTCACTGAATCCTTACAACTCTATGCAACAGAGGCTGCTGTCGCCCCACTTTACAGATGGGCGACCTGAGGCTCCATGAGGTCACCTGGCTTGCTCAAGGTCACACAGCTAGTCAGTGGAAAAACCACATCTAGGAGCTAAGCCACTAGGATTTCAGTGGCTTACTGATTGTACATAGACCAAAGTTAAGTAGAAACTCAGCAACCAAGTTCTTAAACTGAGGGCGGTCAACAAGAGGGGGAATTGTGGAAGTGCACAGGGCTGCTAGCTAGATGGCCTCAGCAAGCACCAAGAGAGGTTTTTGGTCATGAGAGTAGAAGCTAGCATCTTCCTAGACATGCTTCTGTGTTGTTGAATTTTGCTTTCCTGTAGGCTCTCACCTCTGTCATTGACCTCAAGTCAAAATTACGGCACATAAAATATGCACAAACATGGGCAGGTAATTTCTTTCCTCACCCTTTCAATAAATAAAGGGTATTCTAAATAGTTTCTTTGTCTGCAAATGAAATAGTCCTGCTGAGGGTGCCACTAACTAAGTATAGACTATGACGGAGGTCCTGGGCTCTCCTGGGCCTTTTTATCAGAGTGAAGTTCAGATCATGTGTAGCAGATAAATATGGTTGCTTTCTGATCTAATTGATATATTCTGAACATGGTCAAGACTGGTGGCAAGTCTCCTTCAGCTTTGGGGGAAAAGAGAGGTCCAGATGACCCTTATCCAAGAAGTGAGTTTTAAAAGTGTTGTGTTGTTTCTTTGCAGGAGCAAAATACAGAGACAACCAGCTGCCTCCTTCAAAATGTTTCTCCTGGGGATTATATAATTGAGGTATGTATAACTCAGGAAAGCCCTATTATTAATTCTACAGAATGAATCTAGTTCATGAAGAATTTCAACTGTTTACAACACTAAAATTTCAAGCCATTGAGGGTGTGCACAGTTATATTTTTACGTGGTCCTTAACATGCTTTTTAAAAAGTTTATATGTAATTAGTCTTTGATTTTTCTCATTCAGTATTTCAAGTATTTCATATAAATATTTTTATGAAACCGTATAGTCCACATAACCACGATTTAGAATTTCTATACAGTATTCCTTTGTAGGGGAGGAAGAAATTCCTTCTTTCCTCCCTGCGTTCTTCCAACTGGTTTAGGAATTAAATTGACGTGAGACAGATTAAGGGGTGAAAAAAACCAGAGTCTTACTGAGTGTGCACAGAGGCCCAATAATGAAATTGAAACCCAAAGAAATGACAAAGGCAGGCACAGTTCTTATGCTTTTGGACAAAGAGATAATAAATTTGTGAAGAATTGACAGGATAAAGAAAAATAGATGTTTGGGAGCTTTAATTAGTAAGGAATTCTAAGTGGAATTTAGGCTGAGGTAATAAATTAGAAAAAGTAACAAGGTTATTGTTCTACAGTTTTCTCGACTTTAAAGTCCCTATCTCAGACAATAAGGATGTCATTTTTACTTCTCAGAACAGTGAGGGTATTTGTCATATGGGAGATCTATTTCCTGCTTTCAGGGGGACAGAGGGAGGGTCTGAGTATTCTTGCACTACTTCTTTCTCCAGTAGCTTCATTACAAAATATTTATCAGTAGGCCATTGTGGTACCTACTGGGGCAACCTGCCCTGGGCTCCTACACCGTCATACTACAAAAATATGTTTTAAAAAAATTTAGATTTATAAATTTTTATTTTTATTTTTTAAAAGACATTTATTTGTCAGAGAGAGAGAGAGAGAGAGAGGCATTCAGAGGGAGATGCAGGCTCCCCACTGAGCAAGGAGCCCGATGTGGGACTCGATCCCAGGACCCTGGGATCATGACCTGAGCCGAAGGCAGACACTTAACCGACTGAGCCACCCAGGTGTCCCTAAAAACTTTTAGTAAAACAGAAAGGAAAATTTCTGCCCATTATATCTGCCTATACTTCTCTAGGTTTCTGCTGACATTTTCTTTATCAGTACACATGAAGTTCTAAATACCACTGAAAAAAGGAAGCAAATGATAATATTTTTCTTCTTTTAGTTTAGATTCCTTTTCCAGTATCAAACATACTACAAAAATAGGGATAAAAGAAAAATCGAAAAGGAAATGAAAAATTTTGTCCAAAGCCCTGCTATTCAGAGACAGTCAACATGTCTTAACATTTTGGGAGAAACACTGGTTGTACGACTTGATAGCAGTATGTGGTTTTGAATGGACACACCCTCTGAAAGCATTAATGGTGGCCCAGTAAAATTAGTTGTAGGATGCCATTATAACGGAGGAGTGTTAGAATGTGGAACTCACCAGCTGAATTCATCAGTGAATGAACAACGTTTGATTCATGGAAGGTGATGAGGTTGAGGGGTTTGAGTGGTAAAGCAGAGATTTATCTGATTTAATGTCAGGTCTCAGCTCATAAATGATCATAGGCAGCAGCTCTCCTTCCTCCTTCCCCCCACTGTCCACAGGTGGAAAAATGAATGAAATCTGTTGAGATGTTATCACTTAAAAAAAATAATGATACAGCATCCTCTGTTTTGCAGCTGGTGGATGACACTAATACAACAAGAAAAGTGATGCATTATGTCTTAAAGCCAGGTATGATTTTTTTTCTGTGTGAAATGTTGGCTCTGGACTACGGCAGACCACGCTACTTGATACTTTCTGTACTTCATGGTTTACAAAATCAAAACACAGCATTTGAGTTCCTCTCTTTTAAAAGATGTTCCATCAGGGGCACCTGGGTGGCTTAGTCGGTTGAGCGTCTGACTCTTGACTTTGGCTCCGGTCATGATCCCAGGGTTGTGAGATTGAGCCCTGTGTCAGGTTCCATGCTGAGCACAAGGAGTCTGCTTAAGATTCTGTCTCTCTCCCTCTGCGCCCCGCCCCCCGCCTCACTCTTCTAAAAAAAATGATATTTCATCAAAGCCGACTTTCCTTCCATCCTAATGTCGATGCCTAGAAGACAGAGGCCACTGTGGTTGGTGTGTGTCTGTGTGTAGCTGGGACCAAATAGTCACTTGTCCTTGGAAGAAAAGTGGTGGGAGGCAAGTTTTCCTAGGGCAAAATTCTCACTCACAAGTATTTACTGTCCCAGCAACTCTAATTGTTGAATAGTATTCTACAACCCTTTAAAAAGAGTCCTTTTATAATCACCAGACCAGTACTAACTAGAGAAATGTGGTCAGGGCTCCCAGAACCTGTTACACAGCTTATGTTTAAAAAGAGGAAAAGAGGGGCACCTGGCTGGCTCAGTTGGTGGAGTGTGGGACTCTTGACCTTGGAGTTGTGAGTTCAAGCCCCACATTGGGTGTAGAGATTACTTAAAAATAAAAAATCTTTAGGGGCGCCTGGGTGGCTCAGTTGGTTAGGCGACTGCCTTCGGCTCAGGTCATGATCCTGGAGTCCCGGGATCGAGTCCCGCATCGGGCTCCCTGCT